AGATCATGGCTTAGCTCAGGTGCGCCTTAGTCCTCAAAGTAACATCCTTGCTTTTCAATACTCTAAAGCAATGGTTCTCAACCTTCCGAGTGCCACCACCCTTTAATACAGTTCCTCATGTTTTGGTGACCCCCAACCATAAAATTATTTTCATTGCTACTTCATAACTGTCATTTTGCTACTGTTATGAATCGTAATGTAAATATCTGATATGTGGGATGTATTTTCATTGTTACAAATGGAACATCATTAAAGCATAGTGGTTAATCACAAAAACAATATTTAATTTTATATGTGACATATTTCTAATGACAAATAAATGAAATTTTGTCTTGAAGCATGGTGTAGCGTGGGTACTCCACAGGTACTCCTATGTGGGCATATCTGCATGTGGCGGGCCCGCCTGGAGATGGATAGAGGAGCGGTGTTTCGCTTCCTAAGACCATTGGAAATATGTGTTTTAAGTGACCCCTGTGAAAGGGCCATTCAACCCCAAAGGGGTTGTGACCTACAGGTTGAGAACCGCTGCTCTAAAGAGGTCTGGTGCAGCAGATTTATCCAATGTAGCTTGTCTCTTGATCTCTTGACCGCTGCCTCTGTGAGCATTGATTGTAGAGCCAAGCAAGACAAAATCCTTGACAACTTGACTCTTTTCTCTATTTTTCAGGTTACCAATAAGTCACATCATCTAGCATTAGACCTACTAGTAGAGAATTTGGAGGAGTAGGGCCCTGGAATCTCTATTTTAGCAAGCTTATTAAGAGAGCCCTGGTTGCACTGTGGATTAGGCATTAGGCCACTAATCATAAGGTCAGTGGCTCAAAGTCAGCAGCCATTCCTTGGGTGAAAGATGAGGCTGCCTCCTGTCATAAAGATTTACAGTCTCAAAGACCCTATGGTGGGTTCCTGTGAGTCGGAATTGACTCAATGCCAGTGGGTTTGGTTGGCTTCAATTTTTTATCTAGGTAGACTTTACTCCATTAAGGCTCGGAGATGACTTATTGGGACATTTTGGGAGCCCTAGTGACAGTGGGTTACATGTTGGGCTGCTAACAGCAAGGTCAACGTTTCAAAACCACCAGCTGTTGTGTGGGAGAAAGAGGAGGCCTTCTATTCCCACAAAGAATAACAGTCTCAGAAACCCACAGGAATAGTTTCCCTCTGTCCTACACGGTTGTCATGAGTCAGAATTGACTCGATGGCAGCCATTTTTAAGTTCTAGAAGCTTGATTACTTTCTCAGAGTTTCTGATTTTTTTTTTAAACATGTCTGATTTCCTACTAGAGAAACATAAACTATCCAAGTCCAGACCTCTTCCGGGGCCATTTCCGGGACATGAGGACAAGACTGCTTTCCCATTGCATCCCATCAGCGCTAAGATATCCAGGAAGGGAAGGGCATTGGGGAAAGGTAGCCAAGAAGGGAACATGGGGACAAATCTCTAGAGTATGGAAGGAAATGACAGGAATGCTAACAGAAGAACTGAAAGGGACATCCAGGAAATTACCTGTGAAGGAGGTCCTATTTCTGTGGGCGGACATGTCTGTTGAACATGTATGCTGAAAGAGGAGCTCAGCTCCTCCCACCCACCCCCACCCCCTACTGTACTGGATGACACAAACTCACTGTCACTGAGTTAGTGCTGGCTCACAGTGACCCCCCTGTAGGTTTACGAGACTGTAACTGTTTATGGAAGCAGAAAGCTCAGTCTTTCTCTCTCGGAGCTGCTGGTAGTTTTGAACTGCCGACCATGTGAATCGCAGCCCAACACGTAATCGCTACACCACCAGGGCTCCTCCACTGGAAGACTAGGAGAAGGAAATGATCAAAAGGGGACATGGCACCTTCTGGAGGAAGGCAGGATTTCATTCAAAGGGAGTAAGGTAAAGAATGGGGCTGTCCAATGGAGTCAGTTGATCCTAGGCTTTGAAGGCAAAATGAAGTGGGTTTGGGGAGACAGGGAGCTGAGTTGAAGAGAAAGAAACTGATGAGATACCCCTGGGGACATTTTGTTGTTGTTGTTGTTGCTTCCTGTATTAGTCTGGGTACTTTAGAGAAACAAATCCACAGCAACTCATGTATAAGAGAGAGCTTTATGTAAAGATTAAGTGTGCATCAAGAAAACTTTATCCCAACCCAATGCTGCCCAAGCCCACCAGTCCAACATTAACCCATTAAACCATATGTCCAACACCAATCCACAAAGTCCTCCTCCATCTCACAAAACAGAGGCAATGATGCCGACTGCAGGAGGAAAGCTGAGTCAGTGAATGTGTAAGCATCTCAGCACTGGCAGGGGTCTCCACACGGCTGCTCCAGCACCCAGGGCTGCATCAGGGTAGGTCCATGTGGCTTCTCCTTGGGGATGTCTTGCAGGAAGTCAGCCTTGCAAGCTGAAGCAGGGAACTGCTAAGACAGCTGCACCCTGGTGTGATCATCACAAAGCAAGAGATCTGAGAACTAGAAAGGTGAGGCTCACTGAGCCATTTATCCCTCCGCCCTTTAATCAATCCCACATGTGCTTATCGGCCAGGTTGGCACAATAAGCTAACTCATGTTCCCTCACACATAAAGGAGTTGGAGACTTGTTATAGTAGGAAAGATACAGGCTTTGAGGTCAGGCAGATGTAGGTTCATACCCTGGCTCTGGCAGTTACCATCTGGGAGACCTTGGACAGGGAAAGCAGCCCCAGCACCCCAATGCCCTCATCTGCCTCCCACCTGAAGAGGTTTCTCTGGGCAGTATTTAAGCCCACTGCCAACCAGTCCATTCTAACTCATAGCAACCCTATAGGATAGAGGAGAACTGCACCCCTGGCACTGTCACAGGGTCTGCTGCAGCAGTGGGCAGTGAGACCAGGGCCACAGGAAGAAAGGCTGCCAAGGCAGTGGCATTACTTGAGTTGGTATCCTTTCTCACCCAGGGTGACAATTTATCAATGCCCCACCCCCAATGGCATCTGCCCTAACTGGAAAGGAGTGTCTCTGTCCTGACCAGGGGAAGACAGGAAGAAGCAATGTGAGGGCGTAGGTGGGGAGGCCACAAAACAGAGCTCTCTGGGTGGGGGACGTTTCCTACTGGTCCTACAAGAAAGCTAGCAATGGAACTGGATTTGTTATTTATGAGGGGCAAGTGCCCAGTGGGGAGCATGGAGTAAGTTCACCCCCTACTGTAGTGGAGGAGTTGGAGCCCCTGTAGTGTTGGGGTCACACTCTAGGTAGCGGTTCTCAACCTGTGGGTTGCAACCCTTTTGGGGGTCAAACAACCCTTTCGCAGGGGTCGCCAAATTCAGTAGCAAAATGACAGTGATGAAGTAGCAAGGAAAATAATTTTATGGTTGGGGGGTCACCACAACATGAGGAACTGTGTTAAAGGGTTGCGGCATTAGGAAGGTTGAGAACCACTGCTGTAGGCTGTAACTGCAAGGTTAGCAGTTCGAAACTACCAGCCTCTCCTCAGGAGAGAGACAGGGCTTTCTACTCCCATAAAGAGTTCCAGTCTTGGAAACTCGTAGGGACAGTTCTGCCCTGCCCTAAGGGCCCACTCTGAATCGACATCCACTCAATGGCAGTGAGTTTGGTTTGGGTTTGGTACTGGAGGAGTAGGGGGGAAATGGCCAAGGTTGAGTCAGGGGTGACAAGTGCACATATATCCTTAAAAATTGTGGGATATCTCTACTCTAACCTATAGAATTGATAAGTATAGAGTAGACTCACTGGTAAAGAGTTTAAGGAATTGGGGGTACCAGAGGAGTGCCAGTTTAGGGGCCTCCTTTGCTCGCAAACTGAACCAGCCAATTCCTGCATTTCAATGCACGAGTGCATTTCCTCCATGCACGGATAGGCGGAGACCTTGGGAGACTCAGAGTGACCTCCAAATTGAAGTCCATGACCCAAAACCACGAAGGCTTTCCTTTTTCATTGGTGCTCGCTTTGATTGGGTGGGTTGTATGCTGGAGGCCAGCTCAGTATAGGGCTCTCGGGTGACAACCTCTCCTAGTCTTTTTCCATAATGTTTGCTTGGAAAGAACATGATCCTTGCCTTCCCCTTCCCTGCCACCTCACCTCACCACTGAAGAGATTCTTGCTATCTAGGGGAAACCCCAACACTTCATAAGGTCAAGAGAAAAACACAAAGAATTCGCTGGAATTCCTTTCAGCTTTGTGCATTCTCTCTCACCTTCCTCCCACTCGGGGCTGGTGCACAAGCTAGACACACACTCTTCCGTTCTGCTCCCTTTACCGGTAATCCTGCCCGGTGACCTTCAACATCCACGCCCTTCCCTTGTTCCAGCAGGAGTCTCTGAGCATCTCTGGCAGGTCCCTGAAAACCCCCAGCCCCTGACTCACAACGTCTCTAGCCCTTTGCATCTCTGCTTTCTGTTTCTGCCTGGGTGCAGATGTCATGTATGCATCCACGGTGTTCTTGGGAATGGGTAGACTGGTGACTGCTTGGAGGCTAGGAAGCCCAATTTGGAAAATATATTTGCTCGAGATTCAGGAGCTGCCAGTTACCTAGGGAATTTATTTCAAACTCCTTCTCCAAAGGAGTGTGGATTTACGACTCCCTTCAGGTTGACCTATGTATTGATTTCTGCCTCGTGCTCCGGATTGTTCAAGTGCTTCACGTGGGTAGGCTGCTAACCACGGAGTTTGAGTTCGCTCCCAAGAAAAGTGTGTTCTGGTGGGATTGAACTATTGAACTGGATCATCTTCGGATTGTGTCCCTATCCAACTTTTGATCAAAGAAAGAAAAATGTGGCAAAAAATAAAAATAATAAGTCACTGAAATGTCTATGGCGCGCAGGCACACCACCCGCGAATGCCTGACACGTGAGTTAGAACCGATTCTGTGGCAACGGGTTCAAGGTAAGTCACCTGGGCAGCAGAGGAGAGAAGCGGCCCTCTTGGCAAGGCCGATAGACGGAGGGAATGGAAGTGGGCTGGGGGTGGGCGCTTGCTCTGGCTCAGGGTCTGCGTTTTCCTTCTTCCCCTTGCAGCCCTGGCCCGCCACCGCTACATGAAGCAGGCTCGGGCCCTAGTCCCTCCGATGATGGACAAACCCCTGTACTGGGGGGCGGACAGGAGCTCCCAGGTTTCATCCTACCCAATGAACCCCCTGCTGCAGCGAGGTAAACCTTGCCAGGCACTTTGGGCTGGGGAGGGCAGAGGGCTGATCGGAAGCTCCACGACCAGTCTTGGGGTCTCTGTGTGTCTGGTGACAGCGGGCGGGCAGAAACAAGGTACATGACCGGCCCTTTCGGAGGGTCACCTGGGGTCATCAGTTGTGCATGCTCATGTCCTTGTTCCCGTTTCAGATCTGTCCCTCCGGTCCAGCCTGGCACCGCTGCCCCTGGCCCGCCCTGCCGCTCCCCCTGCCGTTGCCAACGGTGTCCTGGAGTATTTGGAGAAGGAGCTGCGCAACCTCAACCCGGCTCAGCCACTGCCCCTGGACCTCCAATGCAGACCCGGCCATCCGTGCAGCATGCTGTCCTCGCTGGGCTCCGAGATCACGGAGCGCAGGGTCATCCGCCTGCCCCCGCTGCTCAGGGACCTGCCGCCCTCCCCAAGGACGAGCCACTCTTCCCACCAGCCTTGGCTCGCCGGCCTCCCCCCGGGACCCTGGGATCTGAGCGGAGAGAGCAGGCTGCTGCATTCCTACCCGGATTTCCACCCGGAGGCCCGTGACCGTTGGCCGAAGCTCTGGGCGCCGGAGGGGAGGGACCTGGACCCCCGGAGGAGGGGGCGGCACCAAGGCTCCAGGCTGAACCGCTCACCCATGCCTTGGTCTGAGGGGGACAGTCTCAGCGACGGCCCCGCATCCAGGGGGGCACGCAGGCGGTCCAGCCGCCCCCCGCCCAGGAGCCACTGTCCAGAAAGGCCCCGCAGGCCCAGCCCTCGGGAGGGTGCCCAGAGGCCCCGAGGGCGCAGGCACCGCAGCTACTCGCCCCCTCCGCCCTCGGGCCCCAGCTCCTGGAGCTCAGAGGAGGAGGAGGAGAAGGAGAGGCAGCCCCGACGCCGGAGGAGCCGGGGAGCCCACGTCCGACATCGCTCGCACTCCCCAAACTGGCCCGAAGAGAAGCCCCCGAGCTACCGCTCTCTGGATGTCATAGCAGGCAAGAATAGCAGGAAAAAGGGGAGCGTGGAGAGGCGCTCGGTGAGCCTGGGGCATCCTGCTGAGGGGCGGGCGGGGGCAGAGCAGATCCTCCCAGGCTGACACCCGCCTCCTCTGGATCCCACCGCAGGGGACCACCTCTTTGTTCGCACAAACTGCCCTGCCCAAGGGGCTTGGTGAGGCACCACTTGTTCAAAGTAGTCAGCGCAGGGTGCAGGATGCCATGCTCACAGCGCCTGGTCCTCAGTTTCCCTTCGGAGCCCCGTGGGGCAGAACAGGCAGAAGCAGGCTCAGGATGGTGGAGCAGCTGGTGGGTCCTAGAGCCAGGGGCAGAACGCAGGCCTAGATGGCTAAGGCTGTATCGCCTATCTTAGTGGCCCCATGTCCATGCCCCAAATTAGAACCTGCTGCCTGATGGAGGGTGTTTGTGCTACTTCTACGTTGTGCAAACCAGCGTGCAAGGCCCTGGTGTATGCCAGGCCCTGGCTCTCAGAGAACCTGAGAAAGGATGTTTATGATTTATAAAAAGAAGAAGGTAGCTCCAAGATGAATCAAAGTGTAAGGATCCTGAGACTAGATGAAGTACCAGTGGGTGCAAATCCTTCCTACCTTATCAGCCTGAGCCAGTACCAGTGGGTGCAAATCCTTCCTACCTTATCAGCCTGAGCCGGGGACCTGGACAGGCCATTTGAACCTCTTCAGGGGTGGGCTTTCTAAAAGACGGGACCTCTGGACCCTTCTGTAATGAACACATTGAAATGATGGTGTTCCTCGGGCATTGGCAATTGGCAACGCAAGGCTGCCACTGCTCAAAAATATTAGTGAACTGTCTTCAGAGCCAACTTACTAGCTCCCCCCATGAAGATAAAATCCTTTTCTGCCCATTTCGTTGAAAGAGTCAAAGGGATCTACAGCAAGCTCTGAGGGAAGATTCTGGAGTGGGAGGAGGGGAGAAGTGGGGCGTTGGGGGTTACGGAAACAAGAATATTAATCTCTCGTGGGCGCTGAAAGACCACTCTCATTTGGAAGCACAGGTTTTGCTCTGGCTTGTTTAAAAACCAGTGAGTGGTGTGTGCAGAGGGCTCTCCCCTGAGGAGAGCCCCAGAGCAGCTTCCGGTGAGAGTGGCTGGTGGAGGAGGACTGGAGCCCTGGAGGGTGATGTACTAGATTTCACACAGGCTGCTCGCCACAGTCAACAGTGGAAAACCACCCATGGCACCGTGGGAAGTCGGGGCTTTCTACTCCTACACAGGTGTACAGTCTTGGAAACTCACAGGGGCAGTTCTGTCCTGTCCAATAAGGTCACTAGCTGGTAGTGAATTGGTTGGTTGGTTTTGTAAGTTAAATGATGAGGTTTCTTGTAAGCCTCAAAGAAGGGTAAGAAGGCAGGAAGAGGCCCTTTGTACACACACACACCCTTTACAGCCCCCCCCCCCTTTCTACCGCACTTCCCCCCTACACACACACCAATTATATACTAGCCCCTAGGGAAAGCCTTTTCTAGCCATTATTTCATTTTGTCTTCACAACTGCCCTGGGAAGCTCTGGGAGAGGCGAGAGAGCTAATGCGGAGCAAAGGCAGGTTTGAACACTGCCCTCTTCCTTTCCAGACTGCCCTTGGCACTCACTCAGACGCAGAGGAGAAGCTCCCACTCAGGCAGGGGAGCAGTGATGTTTTCTGGAGACTTATTTACACCTCATTTTCTGGGAAGATCAAAGCTTTCTTTATTACCAAAGAGCCATCCCAATCATTCTACCACAAGCAAAACAAAATCATTATTTTAAACAGCAAAGATTTTTGTCCAAGATCATTTGTGAAAACTTGCTCCCAAAGAGTTATCACCTTATCACACTGCACTCTTCACTCTTGATGGTCTCCTGAGGCCCCAGGCTGAAGACTGATTTGGCAGATGGGTTGGTTTGAAGGACACAGCCTTTTGAGCCTTTGATTTGTAGCATGACACTTGAATGCCCTCTTCCCTCCTCTATCAATGGGGTGGCTGCTTCCCACAGTGGCTATACTCCTGGCCTCTGAAGTCCTGGCTTGCAGGTAAACTTAGACGTAACAGTACAGTGAAGCCACAAGATGGTGGCACTTGATTTCTATGTAACCTTTGAGTTGCAGAGATACAGCATGATTTTCTCAAATCAAGCTTTCAGCAGTTACTGTTTTACCAACACTTTTTGCAGACTATTTCTTAAAAATGCTTCATGACGTACCCTGTTTCCCGAAAGTAAGACATCCCCCGAAAATAAGACCTACTTACAGTTTTGCCTCTCGCTGAAATATAAGGCAGGCCCCCTGAAGCTACAGTAACTCTGGACTCTGGCCCGTAGCAGCGGGCACCGCCACGCAGCTCACTGTTGGCCGCAGCACAGCCAGAGCAGACAGGAAGTGCAAGGTCTCTTTTAATAAAACAATAAATGTATACTGTATTCTTCTTCATGGAAAAATAAGACATCCCCTGAAAATAAGACCTAGTGCATCTTTGGGAGCAAAAATTAATATAAGACACTGTCTTATTTTGGGGGAAACAGGGTATCTAGAGTAATGGCAAACAAACAAAAAGCTTGGCTCATGTGGTACTTCCCCCCCGAGGGTAGCGTTTAACAAGTTGGTACCAGCAATCAAGGTCATCTGTGCAGACAGCTAATGGGAACCCAAAATAGGTAAGAGCGATTCTCTGTACCCATGAGAAAATGGAAGTTCTGTTGAGGGAATCACCCACTTGATTCCGGAACAAAGATCTTCTCACTTCAAATCAGATAGTCTTTTTTATTCCTGCACAGCTACAATCTCAAAAATACAGGCATCAAGAAATTCAAGTGTTTTACTCCAGTAACAGACTGACTCACTTCAGTTCTGTGTTCCTGGTCCCCTTTCACTAAATTTCTTTCTAACAAAGCATTTCTCTCCCCAAGGCATTTCTAGCTTGTCCTAATAAAGAGAAAGGACTGCATTCTTTTCTTCCCAAACAAATTTCAAGATTTTAGGTAGCGTTCGGGGGTGGGGTGGGGTAGGGGGTTGTTGCTTTTCCCCCCTTCTTCTTAATTCTTTGATTTAATTTTTTTATTAGATCCAGATTTTTACTTTCAATAAAATGTCTAATCCTTGATCATGTCTAGATGTTCCTTTAGCAAGCCCTGGGGAAAAAAATTTGGCCACGTTCCATTGCTTCCCTTCATTCATAAAGAATTCATCACAATATTTTGATTGTCTAATCTCTGAAACTCACTTTTCTAAGAAATTGGAAACACAGATTTTTTTATATATATAACAAAATGAATATACATAAAGATGCATTTTGAATAATATCTTATAGCACAAGCACCTATTTCAGATAAGAGGAAGGTCACGTTCCTATCCACAGCTGTAGCTATTTATGAGATAAACAGAATAAGCCTCTATAGTACATAGTTAGAGAAATATGAGCCCGCACAAACCATAGCCTCGCCCTCACAAAACAAGTGTTTGCATAAAGATCAAGTGGAATAACTTCTGAAGAAAGACTACTGAGTTTGGTTGAGAAGAGGTAGTGGTGTTTGAAAAGTAATTTTAGAGAGATATTAAAGGATTTTTAGTCAAGAATTGGGAAAGAATGTTTCAGGAGACAGACATCACAGGAAGTTGCCAAGAATATTTTTTTAAGATACAGATTTGCCCTAGCAACCACCCATCACCCAGGATTTGCAATGTTGTGTATTGTATGTATGGACAGTGGTGCTTGCACCTCACTGACTGGGTGTTTTTGTATTTGCTTTGCCCCCAGGAAATAGAGAGCTCCCATAGTGGCAGGAGCATGGTCATTTAGTCCCGGGCACAGCACTTGACTCCACCTCAGCTGCCACGTGTCACCAGCATCGCCTAGATATCCTGCTGTCTTGAAAGAGCCACTGAAAGTCTCTGTCACTTCTGGTTTAGATGCTGAGATTCAAGTAGAAGAGTTGTAAGACTTTGAGAAATTAATGTAGTTTCAACTTTGGTTCTGTGTATTTATATAGTCTCTAACTAGGATATAATCTTTCAAGAATTTCGTAGCCTGAGTTTTCAACTAGGTTATGTAGGTCAAGACAATGGTCATTTTCAGAGAACATGAAGATCTTTCAGAAGAAGCCAAACATGTTTCCGGAGCCATAAATCTATGGGGTAGTTTAGAAAAATATTTCATGAAAACTTGTCTCCTCCAGTAGCATATGGTAAAGATTCCCTCATGTTACATGTTGTGGTAGTTACATAATCTGTTAACTTGATACTAGTAAGAGTGAAGGGGTGAAGTTTAGCCTGTCAATCAGATTGCAGCTTGATGAGCTCATTTGGAAGTGCTAAGGAGATAAATAGCTGGCTGGAGGCAGGACACACACTGTGAGACATTACTACTGACAAGACACATGAAGCTATGCTAGAGGCCTGGAGCTGGAGGAGCCACATGGAGACTCCTGCCAGCATTGAGATGTTTCCACTGCCACTGGATCCACAAGACTTCCCAACCACTGGCCTGTGAGCTTCCTGCATTCAGCATCATTGCATGTGTTGTGTGAGTCTGAAGAGGAATTTATAGATTGATATTTTACATATGGGCTAATATTGGACTTATGGACTTGATCTGGACTGGGCTGGGATGTTTTCTCAATATACAATTACTCGTTGATATAAAACTCTTTCTTATACACATATGAGTGTCTCTGAATTTGTTTCTCTAGTCAACCCAGACTAACATACATGTGTACCATGCTGTCTCCATTACTGAGTCCATGATACTTCTGACTTTTCTATTAGAGATGGCACAAAAAAGACTCCAGCTCTCTCAGGGGTTGTATTCATATACTGACAATCACAGGAAAGCATTTTTGCACCAAATTAATCATGGTCCTTCTTCCCCTCTTGCACTCTCTTGTTTCTAATGTTTATGTTTTTATACACTCATTAAAACCACATTAAATGCTTCTTGGAAATAACACAGTATATATGTTAATAATAAATCTATGCTGGTTTGAGGATTCTACCCCCAGTAAACACCTGCTTTTCCACATTGGTGCCCTTGATTGTATTAATGAAGCCTTTTCCCCACTGAAACTCAGGGCAAAGACAGTTCCACATGGCTTGTTTGGAACCATCTTTCTCCTAGTACAATCAGAATTTCAGAATGAACTTTTCCCAAGAAGACAAATCCATGCTAGGTCTCACCAGTCAAAGAAACCCAGAGGGTTAGGGGGAGGGGGGGGGGACAGCCATGCCTAACTGTAATGCATTCTTTCTATAACATGCTAATAGGTTCTACCACCCCCTCCCATTTTCCCTGGGCCCCCTGGTTGTTTAAAACATCTTTGGGCCCCAACCAGAGCCAAACTGACCCACTCCCTGGAAGTGGGTGTGGCGGAGAGCAGGTTGGGGAGAGGGGCCAGCATGCCACACCCACATGGAGGCAGGCCAGGAGGGAGGGAGAGAAAGAGAGTCAGACTGGGCCCCACACTGGCACAGGATGCTCAGAGGATGACATCCCTGCTGGGAGCTAATGGGACACGAGGGACTGGGCAACTGACAACAGTACTTGTCATGCTGTCCCCTCACTGGAGCAGACTGCAACAGAGGACATTTCTGAGGTCACATGGTGGCAAAGCAGCATGGTCTGAACCACCCAAAATGGAGCGAATCAAGAAGGGAGCATACCTGGATAAACAATCTGGAGGAGAAAAGAATGGGACCGACAGTTCCAGAGGGACATGAGAGAAGGAGAGGTGGGGGGAAGGAAGTGGTATTAACAAACTCAGGGACAAGGGAACAAGTGGTCCAAAATCAGAGGCGAGGAGGGTATAAGAGACCTGGTAGGGCTTGAGCAAGGGTAATGTAACTGAGAGGGAATACTGAAACCTAAATGAAGGCTGAGCATGATAGTGGGACAAGAGTAAAGTAAAAGGAAATAGAGGAAAGAACTAGGAGGTAAAGGGCATTTATAGAGGTCTAAATACAAGCATGTACATAGTAAATATATTTATGATAATGAGGAAATAAATCTATTTGCATATATGTATAGGTTTAGTATTAAGGTAGCAGATGGACATTGGACCTCCATTCAAGTACTCCCTCAATGTAAGAAGAACACTTTGTTCTATTAAACTGGCATTCCATGATGCTCACCTTACCAATACGATCACTGAAAAAAAATGGGTGCATAAGCAAATGTGGTGAAGAAGGCTGATGGTGCCCAGCTATCAAAAGATATAGCATCTGGGGTCTTAAAGGCTTGAAGATAAACGAGTGGCCATCTAGCTGAGAAGCAACAAAGCCCACATGGAAGAAGCACACCAGCCTGTGTGATCATAAGGTGTGGAAGAATCAAGTACAGTATCAGGCATTAAAGAACAAAAAAAATCACATCATTGTGTGCCCACCTTCCCTGTTCAATCACTGAAGACCAATGGGTACATAAGCAAACCTGGTGGAGAAAGCTGATGGTGCCCAGCTATCAAAAGATAAAGCATCTGGGGTTTTCAAGGTTTGAAGGTAAACAAGCGCCCATCTAGCACAGAAGCATCAAAGTCCACATAGAAGAAGCACACCAGCCTGTGTGATCACGAGCTGTCGAAGGGATTAGGTATCAAGTATCAAGGGACAAAAATCACATCATTGTGAATGAGGGGGGAGTGCAGAGTGGGAACCCAAAGACCATTTGTGGGGCAACTGGACATCCCTTCACAGAAGGGTTGCAGGGAGGAGACAAGCTGGTCAGGGTGCAGTGTAGCAACGATGAAACATACAACTTTCCCCTAATTCTTAAATGCTTCCTCCCCCCAACTATCATGATCTCAATTCTACCTTACAAATCTGGCTAGACTAGAGGCTGTACTGGCTCAGATAGGAACTCATAACACAGGGAGTCCAGGACAGATGAACCCCTCAGGACCAGTGGTGAGAGTGGCAATACCGGGAGGGTGGAGTGAAGGTAGGATAGAAAGGGGGAACCGATTACAAGGGTCTACATATAACCTCCTCTCTGGAGGATGGACAACAGAAAAGTGGGTGCGGGGAGACGTTGTACAGTGTAAGATTTGACAAAATAATAATAACTTATCAATTATCAAAGGTTCATGAGGGAGGGATGAAGGGGGAAGGAGGGGGGAAAATCAGGAGCTGATACCAAGGGCTCAAGTAGAAAGCAAATGTTTTTAGCATGAGGAGGGCAACAAATGTACAAATGTGCTTGACACAATGGATGTATGAGATAAGCATTGTATGAGCCCCAATAAAATGATTTTTAAAAATATGTTTGTGCTTGATGGTATACTAGCATGTTCATTTGTTTCCTGAGCCTCATTAATTACATTCGGAAAATTAGGCTCACTACCTGCATTGGGAATACTGCATGTTTTACAATCAGGAAAGGTGTGAAACAGGGTTGTATCCTCCCACCATACTTATTCAATCTGTATGCTGAGCAAATCATCGGAGAAACGGACGTGTACGAAGAATGTGGCATCAGGAATGGAATGAGGATGATGAACAACCTGAGATTTGTCTATGACACAACCTTGCTTGCTGAAAAGGAGGTGGACTTGAGGCACTCGGTGATAAGATCAGGGATTGCAGCCTTCAGTATGGATTATGACTTAATGGAAAGAAGAACAAAATCCTCACATCTGGACTAATCTGCAACATCATGATACATGAGAAAAGGTTGAAGTTGTCGAGAATTTTGTCTTACTTGGATCCACAATCAAAGCTCATGGAGGCACCCTAGAGATCAAAAGACAGGTTGCATTAGGTAAATATGCACAAGTACTGAAAAGCAAGGATGTTACTTTTGGGACCAAAGTGCACTTGACCCAAGCCATGGTATTTTCCATTGCCTTATATGCATGTGAAAGTTGGGCACTGAATAAAGAAGACTGGGGAAGAATGGATGCATTTGACCTGTGGTGCTGGAGAGGAATATTGAAAGCACCATGCTCTGCTGAAAGGACAAACCCATCTGTCTTAGAAAAAATATGGCTGAATGCTTCTTAGAGGCAAGAAGGGCAAGACTTCATGTTAATATGCTTTGGACATGTTGTCGGAAGAGACCTGTCCCTGAAAAAGGACATAATGTTTAGTTAAGTAGAGCAACAATGAAGGAGAGGAAGTCCTTCAATGAGATGGATTGATGTCGTGGCTACAACAATGGGCTCAAGCATAGAAACAATTGTAAGGATGATGCAGGACTGGGCAGTGTTTCATTCTATTGTGCATAAGGTCACTGCAGTAGTTACAGAATCTGGTGTCAATTTGGGACTTGAGAGGATTAAGAGAGAATGAAGGGGTAGAGTCTAGTCTGTCAATCAGGTCATAGCCAATGAGGCCTCTGTTTGGGCATGGCCTTCTCCTGAAAATTCTGGAACTCCTGTATTTCCTCCTTGGAGGCGACTCACTCCCTTGGAGACTCTCTACTGACAAGACTCACTCCCTTGGAGACTCTCTACTGACAAGATTCTCCGGGAGACTCTCTACTGATAGGAAACATGACACCATGCTGATAGACTCCATGTCCTGGGAACTGAAGAAGCCACATGGAGACCCCTGCCAGTGCTGAGATGCTTTTACCACCACTGTATCTACAAGACTTTGCACCCACTGACCTGTGATCTTCCTTCCTTTGGCATCATTGCATGTGGTTCGTGAATCTGAAGAGGACTTTATAGATTGGTATCAGACATATGGCTAATGTCAGACTTATGGACTTGATCTGGACTGGGCTGGGATGTTTTCTCAATATTCAATTGCTCTTGTATATAAAGCACTTTCTTATAGACATTTGCATGTTTATGAATTTGTTTCTCTAGTCTACCTGGACTAACAAAGTCACTATGGGTCAAAACCAACTCAATAGCACCTAACAACAACAATAATTCTGCACTGGGCAAAGATTTTTATGAGATATTCTAAATACATATGTAAAAACACACTGCCACTGAATCTATTTTGACTCATATCGATCCTACATAGGACAAAGTCGAACTATTCCTTAGGATTTCTGAGATTAAATGAATTTTTATAGAAACAAATAGCCTTATCTTTCTTGCTCAGAGCAACTGGTGGGTTTGAATCACTGACCTTGTGGTTAGGAGCCCAATATTTAACCCACAGCAACACCAATGTATATAGTTAAATTAACAAAAATATAAAGATCCTAATAATGATAACATTTATATCTGAGAGACAAGATGAGCTCTATGTGTTATTTCCTGCTCTTCCCAATAAGAACAACTACAAGTATACCTTGGCAGAATTGTGAGGTTGAGTTCCAAACCACTGAAATAAAG